TAAATGTTAAAGATTGTTCGAAAATTGGTTAAGTGTTGATGTATAAATTAGGGACATAATTTTTTTAATATAAGAATATATATTTAAAAAAAATCTATTTTTCCTATTAATTCTAGATTATTATATTATCTTATTAGTAATAGTAAGTTAAACAGTTTAGATATACTCACAGCTATTATAATGTAATTATTAATGTTGATTTTAATAGCATCAGTAACATTATTTTTTTCATAACTGCAAATTTTATAATAGCAAGAAATCTGTCAACATATTTCCTGACATGTTTTCTGTCTATATATTTTATGTCCAATATATTTTCTATCAACATATTTTGACTCAATTTTATGTTTAAATTATTTTCTATCAACATATTTTACACAGTTTTATGTTTAAATTATTTTCTATCAACATATTTTGACCCAATTTTATGTTTAAATTGTTTTCTGTCAACTTAAAATATGTCATATATTTTCTATGAACATATTTTGACATATGTCGACAGTTTTATGTCTTAATTATTTTCTGCATCCATGATATATGTGCTTATATTATAATAATAATTATTATCTCCATTTTATATTTATTGAATTTGACAGGTGTTTACTTCATTTTGGTACTTATTACTATTTGTAAATATCGTTGATGTAACAACTTTATTTGGAATATATTTGATTTGTTACAAATTAATTAAATTATAATTATAACTAATTTGTAAAAATTAGTTAATTATATAGAATAGAGAATAAAAATTATTGAACTATTAAAATTATTTTATTTATTTATAATTATCATTAGTTATTATTTCTATTTATTCAAAAATCAAATAAATCACCTGAAAAATTGTTAGATAGAGAAAAATAAACTGGTAGATAAAAAAATAAAAAAAAATAAAGATAATGCTGGTTTTGAGTAAGCTAGAATTGGCTGATAAATTGTGTATATCACTACATGATATGTTTTTAAATATTTATAACAATAAAAAAATTTAAAGCTGAAAAATAGGAATAGGAGTTAATTAGTTTTCATTTCAGGAGTTATCATTAGTTTTCAGTTTAATTAAAATTATTTTACAAAAAACTTAATAACTTTTAACCAAAAAGTAGACATACAATTAGACATTTAACTGCACAAGTTTTTGATAGTATAAAACATGAAAAACTTAATTTTTTTTTATTTGTAAAAACCATGTTCATAGTTCCATAGCACAATCATGACATTTTAGTACAATCAGAACCAGAAATGCTTTGCTTAATTAGCAAACACTTTACCAATTCTACCACATAAGCATGATATTTTAAAAGATATTTATTTCAAAGTAAAAAGTTTATTAACTAATATTAGTGAATTTAAAAGTTATTTGAATAATATTAGCAAAATTAAATTCTAAAATTAAATTATCTTCTGAATTTAGTCACTAACTAATAAAGTTAGCTGACTAATTTTAGTTGAACTAAAAATCAAGCGACATTCAACAGAAAGGAACCGACCAATAATTTGGTATATCGTGATGTTATATTGCTATTAAGTTCACAACAAAATTTTTTCATGTTTATCAAAAGAAACTTACTGTAATGTTGACTTTTATAATACAGTTTTTCAATAAAATGTTGATTTTACTTTATAATTTTTCATTTTTTTGCCATTCAGGAGTAAATTTTTTTATTATGTTATTTATCTAAGTTAAAGGTTTTTGTATCTCAGTTAAAGGTTTTTCTGTTAAAGTTGTTCAAAGTTGTAGTTTTTTTATTTAAGCTAAAAAATTTAGTTTTAGTCACTACAATTTTCCAAAACTTTGCATTAAATTTTTTTTTTTTACAATTCTTTGAACTTTTTTTTTTTTCTTTTATTTTATAATTCTTTCTTTTTTTTTTTTAATAGAAATTTTTTTAATGATTTTTTGCAGAACTCAGAAGGTTAAGAAAGATCGTAATTCGTTTAAAGTAAAAATCAAAAGTATGAAAGGAAAGAAAAAAGAGAAAGAGAAAAAAAAAAAAGTAAAAAAAACTGGTGATGAAATTGAAGATGGAACTCTTGCCAGAGGTTTGTCTTTTCTAAATTTTTTTTTTGTTTCTTGTAACCTCATGCTCTAAAAATTTTTATTCATTATTTTTTTTATTTATCTAGTTTTTTACTTTGTATGTCAATGCTTTGGAATTCTCTCCCATTTTCATATTTTTTTGACTAATAAAATTTTCAATTTTAATTATCTTTTGTAAACTGTTTTCATGTTCTTAAACTTTCTTTTCCCTCTTAAACTTTTCCTTTCCTTCCTTTCTATTAATTGTCAACTTAAATGGTGGATGCAGTTAGGAGTGAATTTGTTAAAAAAAAAGTTAAGTAGCCAATTATAGTTGTTTTATGCTTTCTTTTTTAGTTCAAACCTTATTGTCTGTCAAACTTTGTTGTTTTAGTTCAAACTTTGTTGTCTATCTAGGTAGTTAAAAGATTTTAAATAATACATTAATTACTCAAAATTTAAATTTTTTCTGCTCTATCACATAATTTTTAGATTTTCAGTTTTTCATCTGAAAACATCAAATATTGCTTTTTTGCTTTTGATTGCTTGTTGGTTGCTAACTTTTTTTTGAACTTTATAAAATCTTCTTAACATTTTAAGAAGGTCATTTGAATATGCGATATAAATATATAATAGAGACTTCTTTTAGTGATGTTCTCAGCTGATGTGACAAATTTGCTAAAGGCAATCAAGGGACAATTTAAGGGTGGTCAATTCAAGTGTGGTCAATTTAGAAAAAACTTTTAAAATCATACTGTTATAATAATACTATCCTTAAAATATTGGTTATTAATACCTAAAAACATGAATTTAGTTTTTTGTTTTATTGAATGTAATTATAATTACTTAAAAAACTTTATGTAGCATACCATTGGTAAGTTATTAAATGAATTTTGTATAAATTGCACATTGCAATATAAATTATGCCTTATAATCTGTTATTTAAAGTAATAAATAGTGTAGTGTTTAAAAAGACAAATGTCTCAATTTGAGAATTTGGCAATTTTTAGTCTGGCATAAATAGACATGAAAAACCATTCAAAGTCCTGCATTTGCCAAGTTTTTTGCTAATTTTAATGAAATTTTTTTTTTAATTTTTAATTTTTGTTTTTGGTTAAATCAATGCCTTATTCTTATATTTTTTTAGCAAAATTGGGAAAAAGTTTCAAATAATTTTTATGTATCTAGTACCAAAATTAAGCAAAACCAATACCAGTACTTTGGGACCAGAACTATAATGGACATTGCGACACTAATACCAGTAATTTTTGCTATTTCATTGTTCAAATAAAACTTGAATTTATACAATCTTGACTTTACAAGTTTAATTGAAAAATTTATATAAGAAATGAAAAACTCTAATAGAAAACCACAATTCGATTTGGAAAGAGTAGAAGGAGTGAAAATCTTAGATAGAAACTCTCCTATCGGTAGTATCACAATAAAAATACTTAGTTCTAATCAGCAACGCCAGAAAAGGCATCTGGTTAAAAAAAAGGTTTCTTCAACTTTTTCTTTTTTTATGTCATATTTAAGTTAAAATGTAGAATTATGGAAACCCATCAAAGTTGCATATGTGTGAAACCAAAATGAATATATCCTATTAAATAGTTTAAGGTTTGGTGTCTGAGCTAACAGTCTTCAATTGACAGGCCTTGTTTTAAAGAAATTATGCGTAGAGCGATTTACGTACCTCTTACGCAATTTTACGTAAACAGTAAGCGATTAGTGACTATCATTTTTTAACTTTTAAATTATTCTATAAGATTTAAAAATGATTTTAAAATATATATTAATATATTTATTCTAAAAAAATCACATTTACTTTTAAATGACAAAAATATTTGTTACAAAAATTCGAATGACAATTATGTTATAAGCGCCATTTACTAATGAAAAAAACTCAAATAAAATTAAAAATTTACTTTTTATTTTCTTTTTATTTTTTTGTAACGATTATTTGTAATTTTTTGTAATGTTATTTTTTCGTTTGGAAATTGCTAATACTTTGAACTTGAACCAAAGATCATAATTAATCATAATTGATCATAATAACACAATTTAATTTTTATAAAAAATATATAATTTAATTAAAAACTAATTTAATAAAAATATATAATTTTATTCTGATAAAAAAATATAAACAATTTAATTTAGATTTAAAAAATAGATTTAAGTTTATTAAAATTAAAGTTAATGCTTGGATTTAACTTAACTGTCAAATTTATTTAAAAATATTACTAAATATTTAAAATTTATTTATTCTTAAAAAACATATAGCTTATTTTTATTGCATTTGTTTTTTTGGTTTTCCTTCCTAAACATTTTTTTATTATCCAAAATTAATTTTAAAGGGATCCCAAAGTGCCGAGACAAGTTATGTTCATATTAAATAGAATGATTTAAAAAAATGTTTGGGCAGAAATTTTTTAACTAAAACAAAATAATAAAGGTATGCCAAGAAAAACAAACTTTGTTATTTTACTCGAAGCTTGCTGTCTCCATGATAACCAATCAAAGACTTTAAAATATACGCTGCAATCTTAAAATAAAAAATCATTTACAAATTGTAGTTGCAAAGCTGCAATTAGAAATTTAAAAATTAATCATTTAATAATTCAAAAATTTAACATATTTTAATTATTTTGCAAATGCTGAGAAAAGAAAGAAATGTGTTAATATCAAACATTTTTAAAAATATTATATTAAATTTAATTATTTAATATTAAAAAAAAAAATAAATAAAATAAACATTCCCTTCTAGTAATAATAAAAAAGAAGTTAAATGTCTTTAGAAAATTAAAAAATGAAGAGATTGTTATATTGTCAAATTCAGATTAGGCATTAAGCATTTTTTATTTAAAACAAGGCCTGTATTGAGCTTCAGTTTCAGCGCTTTTGTAAGATTGATTAATGTTGCAAGATTGACACATTTTAGAGTAAGCTGAATACTAGTCAGCTAGGTCAGTGAATGGACACTGGAGATGAGAAGTGGGTAGTCTACATAAACCACACCAAGAAGTAGCAGTGGTTAGGGGAGAGCACCTTCAAAATCAACCCCAAAAGTCAAACTGCAACTTAAAAAAGTTTTTTTAATTTTTATTTGGTGGTATTTACAAGACATTGTGCAGGTCTAGTTTTGATGCATTACACACCACACAGTTTTGATGCATTACACACCACACAGTTTAGTACTAATTAAGTAATTTTATATACACTTAAAGCTATTTCGGTTAATTTATGATTATGTAAAAATGTTTGTTACAAAAGTTCACTAGTCCATATAACTGGTAAACAAAATTGCTGGTAAAATAATTGACTAGAATTTTTATTTTTAAAATGAATTTTTTATTTATTACTTGCTAACTTATTAAAAATTAAAAATCATTATTAGTTGCAAAGCCTCAATTACTTAAAAAATTAATTAAAAAAAAGAAATCATTTTGCAGTAAGTTATTATATTGTGGTAGTTTAAAAAAGTTAAAAAAAATAAGTAAAAAGATTTTTATGACATCACATTCCTCATTAAGCTAGTTCATTAAGAATTTCTTTATTTAAAACAAAGCCTGATTGTGTACAACTGCTTTTGCTGAACACCATAATCATGATAGCAACCTACCATGGCTCAACCTGGTTTTGTGGATTTTTTGAACAACTTTAAACTTTTACATAAATACTCTTCTTAGCAGAACACTGTTTGAAGTTCTGTGTTTTTCTTAGCAGAACACTGTTTGAAGTTCTGTTTTTTTTTAATACTCTTCTTAGCAGAACACTGTTTGAAGCTCTGTGTTTTTTTCACTCTTTGCATAATCTTTAACTTTGTTATAAAATACAATTTAACTTAAAATGTTCCTTAACAACTGACACTTTTCTGAAATTTTTCTGAAAACTGAAATTTTCATCATTTTCATCACTTGTTCTATCAACTTTTGTTGATAGAACAAGTGATGATAGCTTGCTTGAGTTAAAAGAGCTCAAATATTAGCAGATGGCAACTTGCAATGACTTTAACAGAAATGTTGTCTACACTACACAGGCTATAATGGAGTTTAAGTAAAAAATAAATTTAGAAACAAAAGCAGGAGTGATTTGGATTTTTAACAGTGGATTAACCTGATTCTTTAGGATGATAGGAAGAGTGAGGTCATTGGATTTAAGAGATGAATAAAACAAAAAGTTAAAGCAAAAAATGTCCTTAAAGGAGATAATGATAAAATAAAACTATGATAATGTTAGACTTGACAATGTAAAAGATTTTCTAATGGCAAAGTAAAAGTTCTAAAATAAAGTACAAGATTTAGTAATGAATTTTAGTGTCAGACAATATCTTTTTTGGCATTGCAATGATAAAAAGTCTCTTGTTGTTCTTAAGTTGTTCTTGTGGAAAAGATGAAAATAATGGTTGCAATTGCAATGTAATGTAATTACATTATTAATTGTAATTACTAAATGCAAAATGCAATTGAAATTACAGTTAACAACTGCACGAAAAGGAGAAAACTATGTGATAGAATTGACTCAAAACTGAGTCAATTCTATCACATAGATAAGCTTGACACAAAACTGAGAAAAAAATAAAAGGTTCCATGTCTGCCTATATAATACAGAGGATTATAAAGGAAATGCAATTTTTAGCAGACATCAGGCCAAGGACCATTATAAAGAAAATCTCAAAAAGAATTATATTTACTCTTAAGTTAGCAGCATAAAATGAATGAATGACAATGAATGAATGATAAGGTGATTCTTTAGAAGAAGTACAAGATAAAAGTGAGATCATGACATAATCTGGACTACCTAAAGGAACACAAGCTAGAATCAGAGACTAGACAACAATCATTGAGTGAAGGTAAGTAATTAGGGTTGTCTGTAGAGTCATAAAATTAGTTTTATTAATTATCTGAGTAAAAGATTGAAAAAGATAAAAACTTTTGAGTTTTGAGTGTTAGAGTCAGCAGGGTCAGTGGTACTAGAGCAGTGTGATGATCATTGATGTTCTGATCAAATGGTCATTTGATCAGAAACAACATTGAAAAGAGTGCCATCTTAGGAGAATGACAAAGAACACACAAAAAAAGTGATTAAATGAAAAAATGAAATCACGTAAAAGAAAAGTCAAAAGTTTTAAACTTTATTTAAATTTTATAAATTTTATAGCAAGTAGAAGAATTAATACATAAGTATATGCCCAGGCCATGCGTGTAACTAAGCAACTATTGGAATGATATTGTGAATGATAGAAAGTATCATCAGTAAGACCTAATAAGCAAAACAACCAGATTTTAATTAATCTCATGAAAAGTTGTTCTAGTGATTTTTGTAAGAGTTAAGATTTTACAGATTACTTTCAAGATCACAAATGATTATAAAGTATAGATAGGTAGTAATGATGGTTTTTTTGTTTAATAATATTTTTAGGTACTTATGTTTTCAATATTTAAAGAATTTGACTTAATTATAGATACTGCACGACACCCTAAGCAAAGACTTCCTCATTCCTGCTAATCAAATCAAAGTAGCATATGTGTACTTGTCATGCCAAAGGCACTAACAGGACATCTTCCATGTATATTATGGTGCTGTTAATACTCTGATATTTTACAGCTGTTGATGGATTCAGCCTTATTGGGAGCTAAATTTTCTAAATTAACCAGATATTGTCTTGAAAAAAATCCCTTATTAACCTGGGTAAAGTTAAATTGATGCCTAGGTAGGATTTATTGTGTAAGACATATAGCAAAGTATACAAGACAACTTTGTCTAAATTATTTGACATAAATCATACTATCAATCACATGAATTTGTCTTTAGTTCTTTAGGTTTTTTTTTGCTTTTTTTTAGAAGTACTAACAACTGATAAGTTTAAAAAATAGAGATTCTTAGGACTAATCACTGCAATCTCTATGTAATAAAATAATTTTTAGAGCAACCATTTTGGATTAATCATTTTGGAATAAATAGGAATATCAAAACTATTGCAATAAAAATTTCCAGGAAATAACTTTTATTTTTTGTTTGGGTTAAAGTTCACCTACCAGCTCCATGCTGTGGCATTTAGTGTATAGCAAGTTGAAAAAAATGATTTTAGTGTCCAAACAGGATATTTTAATTATTGTAAGGAAAGAATTTTAAAGAAAAAGAAAGGAAAACCAAATATTGGTTTAATAATTTAATGTAACATTATGAATTTTTGTTCAACAAGTAAACAAAAATATTTCGGTTGCCACAAAAATAATATTGGTACTATCTAATAAATTATCTAACTAATGCAAATATCTGGTAGATTTGCAATCCCTAGTATTGTTTGCACATATTTAACAATATTGTTTAAATTTGATTTTAGCAAACTAATATTGTATTCATATATTCTTAACCTGCTTTACAAAGCAGAGCAAATTTGGTTTCTTAACATTAAAATTTATTTGAAAAACATTTATTTACACTTCTCCTCAACAAACTGACCAGAATAATATTTAGATATATATTGCTTTGTGAAAGTGATACGATTAAAATATGATGAAATTTTAGTAAGCAACAAGCTTAGATTCAATTTCATGAATGGTTTAAACAGACAAATTTTACTAATGAAAGAGTAGAACCAACCTTTCACAGTGTTATATACAACTTAGAATCAACAAATCAAATATATGCTTCTGCCTTTAGGAAAACAGTCATTTTTACTACAACTACTGAAAAAATTTATTTAAAATAATTTCTTTAATACAAATATGACATAAATTTAATATTATTTAAATATATTAAATGTGAAATTGACTTTAATTGGTATCCTTAACAAAATAAAGGTGTTGAAAAATATCATTTACTATATTGTTTAAAATTTATATATTTTATTAGAGGTAATATTTGGTGTGCCATTGGAATTAGCAGTTGAACGAAGTGCTTTTCCAGACAAAATTCCTTTGCCACGTATTGTAAGAGACTGCATACAGCATATTGAAGATACAGGTAGAAGCTTTATATATATATTATATATGTTAGAAGCTTATATATACATATATATATACATATATATATATGTATTTATATATATATATATATATATATATATATATATTAGGGTGTCCCAAAAAAAAAAAAAAAAGCTCTGTACTGATTCCCATTCTATGTGATCTAAATGAGTCCTAAAAAAAAATTTGGCGGTTTTATTTAGGCAGGAAGTGCTAGATTTAAAATCTGAGTTTAACTTACTGTTTTAAAGTTAAGCTAGCTTAACATTAATAGAAAACACAATATTTTTATATTTTAGAAAATTAAAACAAAACAATTAGATGCGTATAAATCATTTCAAATTGTTTTCTACTATTTAACTTGATAGTTTAAATTTATAAATATGAAAATACAAAAAAAACAAAAAAAAAAAACATTAAAACTAGCAAAAAAATACATTAAAACATTAGCAAATTTAAGATTTTATTGCAGCGAAACATTTCTCAAAAAATACAACTTTTTGAAGAGTTCATAAGCTCCTTTTTAGCCATACTCTTAGTCAAATTTTTTTTAGACTTTTTAACTACAAAAAATACATTTTGAAGGTGATCTTCATCTCTAGTAGCTGAAATCAAACTTTTAATGACCTTGTTTTTTGCTGCACCATCATTTACAACAGATATGTTTTAGATCCATGCAATAAAATCTAGCAACTGAGGATGGTTAAAAACATCTATAGTATTAAGACATCTATAGTATTCTTTTATACTTGATATTTTAAAATGTTTGAAGAGAAGGTAGCTCTACTTGTAAATCAACTCAGGTAGCTCTCTCCAATTTGTACATTTGATGGTTTATAACGCTGAAATTCATTTTGCTCAAACTCAATTAGAGCTAACAGCATTCTTAGCTTTGTTTCAGAAGGAACTTCTTTATCCTAAAAGGAAAAAACACAGAGTTGTGGAGTACCACGTATGGCGTCCCATGCCGAGAAGCAAAGCATTTCCGATATTTTTACTAACTTTTCTTAATGTATAGACTGTCTGGATAGCTTTCAAATCATTGTAGGGAGCCAAAAATCCTAAAAAACTTTTCAAAAATCATGGAACATAGTAAATTGCAATGAACAAACTTGCATTCTTTAACTGCAGCACCTCTTTTTCTGTCAAGATATTACTGATATCTTGACAGAAAAAGATGTGCTGATGAGGCAAGGTTTTTAGCAGATTGCATTTGCTAAAAACCTTGCCTCAAGGCAGGCGCCAGGTTGATGAAACTTAAAACCTTGTACTTCCGCTCCAAGGAAGAAGGAGGCAAGCTTACAAACTATACCATAATCATTCCTTGAAAACATCATATCAGTAGTTACATTAGTCAAAAATGTCTTACCTTCATCGAGGAAGAACAGAGCCAATCTTCAGATCATCTTTTTGCCAGTCCAATTTACATAAATTTTTCACTTTATTAACTTTCTCACAGATTTCAAACCATATGTTCTTTAGCTTGACATAAAGAGCTCTTCTTGGAACTTTAGTTTTCTCACCAGTAAGAGCAGCCATTTAGTGTGATACATATATTTCATATATGTGTCTCCTACACATTATCCACAACATTAGCAATTTCAGAATATGTGTAAGAATTTATACTGCTCCATTGACTCCGCCTGTATTGCTTGCAGTTGTATCACAGCATATACCAATGATCTGATCTTTACATCCATAATATTATAAAAGATTGTGCACTTGTTCTGGTTGGTCAACTCCCTTTGAACAACACCTAAAAGATGGTCTTCCGTGGCATTGTCATCTGGGCAACTCACTGAGACTGCAAGTTGCTCAATTTTTTGAATAATGTTAAGCCAGTGGTAATTTGTTCGAACAGTTTGGTATCAAAATGAAGAATATGCCATTGGCCTTTAAGATGATTAGTTATTGAAATCCACTCCAAGTCTCCTTCAAGTTCTACATATTTGAACTTTTGTCTTAGAAGATGATCAAACCATGGAAAGAGTTAAACGTAAATATATTAAAGGAAATAGTATGCTTAAGTTACTTTAAATCGTAAAGAAAATCTTACTACTAAAAAAAGTGTTATTTAATGAATTTACTTTATATCTTCCAGCTTGGCATTATCTGCTCTCAATCTATCAGCCATAATATCTTTTTAAAAATTCTTAGTTGAGATCTTAAAAAGCTGATAGGATATTGTGAGGAAATCTGCCTAACTTTGATTGCTTATCAAGGCTGATGTTTTAGTTTAGAAAAGACAATTTAAATCACTTTCTTGTATTTTAAATTAAGTTTAATGATTTTGGTCTTTATATTGTACCCAGAGATCACAAATTTCTTTGCAAACCCAGCATTATCTCAAATTTACCCTAGTTACCAAGCAAGAATTATAAGGATCTGTACAAACCTCATTTTCGCAAACAAGATCCTTGGATTTTGATTTCAATTTGCAACCAACATTAGTAGAAGTAGGTTTGTATTTAACCTATGACTCGCGAAGGATAAATTGGTAGTATCTTAGAATATCACCATTAGATTAAAGCTGCCTCTGAGGTAAATCCCTCATGGGTACTTCAATAGGTAAATATACCTCAACCCCTCTGAATTTTTCCATTTTTTCTTATTCTGTCCTATCATCTTCTTTTTTTAGCTGTTCTACCCATTTTTTTATGAATTTCGAAATAATCAGTTTTTTAACTAAATTTATACTTAATTTTACACTTGCATCAAAAATCTATGAAGTTGTTATTCCCTCTCATATCATATTTTATCTAAGTTTACTGTTACAGCTTTTAAAACCGTTTACACGAGAATTTCTTCATGCACAAAATAGAAATCCTTTGTGCACTAATAATTCCATTTAGAAATATTTTCCTTCAAAAAAAATTTCTAAATGGAGTTTTTTAGGAACCAATCCATGGGGAATTATACCAACTAATAATATTGTCCAGAAGGAGTTATATCAATCGCTAACAATGCTCATAGGGAATGATGCTAATCTTTAATAATATCCAAAGGGAATTATTTGTGTACCAATTATTACATCATATTAAAACAAATTGAAATTCTAGATAACGCTGTTTTTATTTAAATACACATATGCGTACAAAACCGTAAAACTCAGAATTTACATCTATCACTTCTAGTCATTAAAAAATTAAAAAAAAGATTTGGGTAGCTATTTAGGACCTATAGAATGGGGATTAGTTAAGAGCACATTGAAATTTTTAAAAAAAGTGTGTTTTTGGGACACCCTTATATATATATATATATATATATATATATATATATATATATATATATATATATATATATATATATATATATATATATATATATATATATATACATATATATATATATATATATATGTATATATATATATATATGTATATATATATATGTATATATATATATATATATATATATATATATATATATATATATATATATATATATATATATATATATATATATATATATATATATATATATATATATATATATATAATTTAGATAAGCATTTGGTGAGCAAAAATGCTGACTTAAATCTATACATTTTTTCAGGAAAAAAAAAGAATTTAATTGTAAGATATTGGTAAAATTAGATCAAATTACAAATATAAAATCTTTTTTACAATAGGACTTGAAACAGAAGGTCTCTACAGAGTTTCAGGGATTAAATCAAAGGTAGACCAAATGAAACAACTATATGATGAAGGTTAGAAATAATTTATTCTTTCCTTTATTATTATTAATAAACTGTTAACACATGACGTTCTCTACAGGAAAACCTGTTAGTTTCACTGATGTTGATCCCTGTGCCACTTCTAGTTTGTTGAAGCTATACTTAAGAGAATTACCATCAAGTGTCCTTACCACAAGGCTTGCTCCTATTTTTGACTCTTGTGTAGGTAATAATTCTTGATCTTTTTATAGGTAATAATTATTTAATAATTTTAAGTTATTTAAAAAAAATTAGGTTAAGGTATAACCATAGTATAACATTATATCAATAGGTTACATGCATTCCAGTAACTTCCAACTCTAATAATGGTTGCTTGCAGCCTTGTTGGAAGTGAAGATGTTAAAAAAAAAAAAAAAGTGGCAATATATAAGTTTGTCTCTTAAATATATTTTGCTGAAAAATTTTAATGTATGTTTTTTCAACAGGATTAACTGATGTTAATGAACAAGTTAAAAGATTCCAACAACTGATAAATGATCTTCCTTGTCCAAACAGAACTCTGTTGGCATGGTTGTTTACACATTTTAGTCATGTAATGCAAAAGGTTTGCATTGTTTTTAATTAAGCTCTTTTATTTTTAATTCTGTTACATTTATTTTGATCAGTGACATATTCAGTGTTTATGTGTATATATACATATTTATACACAACATATGTGTATGTTTATATATATATATATATATATATATATATATATATATATATATATATATATATATATATATATATATATATATATATATATATATATATGTATATATATATATCTACTATAGCATATTTATATGCGCAATTGCTCACTTTTTTTGCTAGCCTAAATTAAGTGAGCATTTTTAGAAAACGATGAGGGAAAACGAAGAATAATGAATGAAAATGTTGCTGACCCATACCAAACCCTCAGTCGATGTAGCAGCACTCCACGGCGAGTCAGGCTATTTGTCAGTCGATGTATGTACTGAAGCCCCCGGCAGCAGGCTATTTGACATTAGGTGAGTATGACATCATCATGCTCACCTAACTCAGCAGTATAAGATATATACATACCCAGCATATGTGTATGAATATATATATATATATATATATATATATATATATATATATATATATATATATATATATATATATATATATATATATACATTTACTGACATTTTTTGCTTACTTTTATCCATATAGTTTTTTTGGAAAAAAACTTTGAATAATGAAAAAAATCAGTTGCTGCTGCAACCCAAACCAATGTAGTAGTACTCCTTGCATCTTCTTTTTATTTAGTCAATTTTAGTCATGTATTTGTATATGTGTATTATTGAATGAAAAAATTAAAATTAAAAAACTTTTCTTGCTAATTTTCATAGCATTCTGCAAACAAGATGAGTATTCAGAACTTAACTATTGTTTTCAGTCCAACAATGAGTATTTCACATGGTGTGCTTAATATTTTCTTTGAACACACCCCAGAGTTTTTTCCAGATACAGAGCTTGTAAGGTAGGATTTTTTTTCTAAATATAAGTTTTGCTATCATCTTGATTGATAGATATTATTATGTATTGCATAAATGTTATTTCTGTAGTTTTTTTAATTAATAGTTTATTTTATCAACCTTTATTTTCTGGTTTCAAACTTGAATTTCATTTCTAAATCAAATTAAAACCTTAAATAAGTTATAAATTTTTGTTTCTCAGAAAAATTTAATCGTTTTTTTTTTTTATTCTATTCTGAGTTAAACTTACCGCAAGTTAAAATTTGTTTTAGTATTTGTCACAAGGTATAAAAAAGGTATAAAACACAAGCTAAAACAAAGTAGTGTTAAATTTAATAATTAGTGAGCAAAATTAAACATTTAATTCTTCAATCTATGCTAACTATAGTATAAATTTTATTTTAACTAAATGCGTAAATGTAATATAAAAATAGTTCTAACTACATGTAAACTAAAATATAAAAGTAGTTCTACATTTTAATTACAACATAAAGTTAGTTTTAACTACTGCCTAACTAATAATGACACTATTAGTGATTTTCCAGAAAGCTTTAGCCTTATGCAATACCTTATAAAAAACCTTTAGTTCTCAGGAGCATATGAAAACAAAATGAGAAAAGTAAATAAATGTAACAACTTATAACAATTAACATTGTTTTGGTATTTTTTATTTTGTGTAAGTTAAAAGCAATACTTAGAACTTTATTCATTGAAAAGTGCATGAAAATTGACATTAGATTGTCATGAGGTAAGGACCATTGCACCACGTTATTTTGGATTTCAACAAAGTATGGCATTTTGATCTCTTACATAAGCTCTCTTTGCATAAAAGTTTTTTTTTAATTTCTCAGGTTTTCTCTCTAATCAAGAGGCATAAAAATTCAAGATTGCTTGACATGCAGCAATATCAACAATGAATTTTTTTATTTTGTCTAAAAGAGAACATTCATTAGTCGTACATGCAAAAAAGAGTAATAGATTTATTTAAAGATATTTAGGAATTCATTATACATTTACACAGAATATCCACAAATTTATATTTTAAACTTGTAAATATTCTGTGCAAATGTATAAAAGATCAAGTTGCCACTAACAACTGCTTTGTCGCATTCCACATAATCAGATTTGGATCCTAATTTTCTCTAAATAAATCTATAACTCTTTTTTTTTGTATCTACAACTTTTGAATATTCTCTTTTAGACAAAATGAAAAAAAAAATTACTGTTGATATTGCTTGACATCCAATTAAATTCCTTTTGATTTTGAGGTTTAAATTTAAAATTCTAATAAAATGATATCCACCCAGGATTTTATTGGTTTTAGTATTCCCACTTGTACTTTTGTTATTTTGTTTCGTTTTTCATTTCAACTTCATTGTGTGTGTGGTTATTTTTAAGCCTGAGTTTATCTTTAACAAAAAAAATTTTTTTATTATTGGTTGTTAATATTTAATCAATTTATAACTAATATTTATTAAATATAATATAACTATAATATGTAATATATATTTTTAAAAATTAAAAGAAATTTTTACAAACAAGACAAGCTATTTTTAACTTTAAATAGATTTATTCAAAGAGAAGTTGAATAAATTTAATATAGTTCAAAGAGAAGTTGAATAAATTTAATATAGTTCAAAGAGAAGTTGAATAAATTTAATATAGTTTAAAGAGAAGTTGAATAAATTTAATATAGTTCAAAGAGAAGTTGAATAAATTTAATATAGTTCAAAGAGAAGTTGAATAAATTTAATATAGTTCAAAGAGAAGTTGAATAAATTTAATATAGTTCAAAGAGAAGTTGAATAAATTTAATATAGTTCAAAGAGAAGTTGAATAAATTTAATATAGTTCAAAGAGAAGTTGAATAAATTTAATATAGTTCAAAGAGAAATTGAATAAATTTAATATATTTTAAAAAGAAGTTGAATAAATGGTTCTCATTTATGTTAAATTAAAATGTATTTCATAATTAAATGGTTTTCTGAATTTCAAAATAGATATGTCCCTCCTCTCAAAAAAGAAGACTACGATGACTATCCAGAAGATGTTGCGTGAGTTTATAATAATGATAATAATTTAATAACAATTAAGAATAAATTTTAAAACAGTTCTAATTTAAATGGATTTAATAAGTTTAAATGTTAAATAAATCAAGTTATTTATATATTTAGAGATTTACAAGATTTATTGAAAGAAAATGAAATGGTTTTAACAGATTTGCATGATCGAGTGAACCAAGGATGTCAAGTAAAATAAAAATAATATATATTTATTTGTAATATAAAGTGTATATATATGTGCGAATATGTATATGTATATAAATATAAATAAATTTATATATATATATATATATTTATTTATATATATATATATATATATATATACACGCACACATATTACTTTTCTTTTTTTTTTTTTGTTCTTTAATTTTCTTTTTTTCTGAAAAAGAAAGGAATACATTTCAAAAATTAAATCAAATGATGAAATTTAAAAGGATAATGTTGTATAGTTATTATATTATGCATCAATATTGCGCTGTTTTTTTTTATTTTATTTTCTGATTTTATGTATTATTAGTAGTTTACCAAGCTAAATAAAAGTGAAGGAAAAAATTATAGTATTTAATGAACCAAGTTGGCAACTTAAGTTAGACTAACATAAATATAAACCTAATTTAATTAATATATATATATTTTAAAGTTATTTTCATTTGGTTTAGGATAAAGAAGTAATGGAGGAACTATGGGAAAGACAAAGGAAGTCAACACAAATTAAACGAAAGATTAAAGCTAAAGTACAGAGAGAAAAGCAGAATCGAGAAAGCTTGATCCATGAGGAGGAATGTAATATCTCTAACTTACATGATAAAATAGACACAGAAGCCAAAGAGATCCAAAAGAATATGGAAAAATCTCCTCAAAATCAAAATTTATTAAGTTCAAAAGTAAATACAAACATTAAAAATAATATTAAAAGTAATTCTGATATTAATTTATCTGAAATTAAAGGTGAAATCGCGATGCATTCAAATCTTCATTCAACAAGTACCCCAATAAACATACCATCTCAAAAAATAGGAAAAAGTCCAAATAAAAGTTCTTCTCAACTACAGTTGCATTCTAACCCTGATGCAATTAGTAACTCATTAAACATACAATCTAAAAAGATAGAAAGTAGTCCAAATAAAAGTTCTTCTCAACAGCAGTTGCATTCTAATCCTGATTCAATTAGTAACTCAATAAACATACAATTTAAAAACATAGAAAGAAGTCCAAATAAAAGTTCTTCTCAACAGCTGTTGCATTCAAGTCTTAATTCATTAAGTAACTCAATTAACATACAATCTAATGTATTAGAAAAAAGTCCATTTAAAGGTTCTTCTCAATTTGGTTGCGTGAAAAATGAATCAGAGAAACCTAAAGATATTATGAATCTTAAGAACCCTCTCCAGGAACAAATTGATGGTATTTTTTTTTTTTAGTATTTCAAGTAATGACTGTATTTAACGCTTTTTTATATTTTATGAAATTTAAGACTTTAGTTTACATGTAGTTAGAAGCATTTCAATTGAATTTATTTTGAAGCTTTGTCATTTAAATGACAAAGCTTTAAAATAAATTCAATTGCAATAAGGCTGCAACAAGGCTGCACTAATTAAGTTTGGAGTTTCAACTTGTTTCTACATGTAGCGACCTTGTTCATCAAGGTTTGTGTTTTGGTGTTAAAGAGTTGAGAGAGGTTTGTATTCACAATTAAGTAGCCTTCTTGTCTGTGGTGGTCTTCTTGGCCTTGGGATGGTGAATTGACATATAAAAAAATTAGGTTTGGAGTTAACAGAAATCAAAGAAGGGAGTTGAAGAGCAAGAAAGCATTGACAGAAGACTTAAAAAACTGTAAATAATATGAATTAGGAAAACTGTAAGTTAATAGCTCACTTGAATAATAGCCATGGTAGTATTTGTAGGAAAAAGAAAGAGATGTAAATTTGTTAAAGGCTCAACTTCTAAAAGACATAAAAGAAGGCTTCATTACAAGAACCACCCCAAATATGATAGCAGTATTCCATATAAAGACAAATAAGACATTTATAGAGGTAGAATTTAGAATCAGAAGTCAGGTGGTAACTTGGACTGAATAAATGGTTTCCTTAAGATCAACAGTGAATGATAATCTGAGAAGAGGTAAACTACTTAGTGCCATTCATCAATATATGATTATCAACAATATTGCGATAATTATTAGCTGTAAACAATTGAGTTTTGCTTGACTTGAAATTCACCAGCCACTTTAAGTCCCAATCTGTCTCAAAAGAGAGTTAAAATTCAAGATTAACTGCCTGTAAAACTCATCAGAACTGTTATAGGTTCTGCGCTATATTTTTGCTCCATTAACTAAAATTCAATTTTGTATGAGTCGTTGTTCAACAAAGCTGCATTCTTTTTATGTAACTGTTCTTCAGGTTCAAAATATTTTTATTTGTCTAGTTTTTTTCATCTAGCATTGGTGTTTCGGAAGTCTCTCCTTGTCTTCATGTTGTCATACCATAAAGTCTTTTATTGTTTTTATCTTGGTCCTTAACTCTTGTCTTTTCTATTAACTCCCAATCAGTTAGTGGTCCTCTACAGCCTTATTGGAAAAACGTTTTTTTTTTTTGGTTTTATGTATGTATCAGGCTTGGACTGGAATGGCGTGCGATCATCGAGCATTATTGCTGATCACGCAAATGATTTTATTTTTTGACAACTTCACCACGATGGTTTAAATGTTTTGATGATTTAAACATTTCAGAAATGCGCTGAATGTAGAAATGCTAAGCAAACTTAAACTAGGAAAAAAGTTAAAAAAAGAAACTAACGAAAAAATAATTCCTAACGAAAAAAGAAACAAATACAAATATATATAAAAACTAAAATTCGAATCGAAACTTTTTATTACATTTTTAATTACGTTTAAAATAAAATCTTTTTAAACGTTTTATTAAAGTTATGCAAAACGCTTTTAAATTAAGTAACAAATGGCTACTAATGTTTAATAAATGAACAAATTTTATCAAATTTATTAAAAAGTGTTGTATATAATATTTTTAAATTGTATAAACATTTTTTCAAAAAAATTGCAAAAAAACAAAAAACTGTTTAAAAAAATGACGTTGTCTTTTTAAAATAGTAATTTTAAGTAATTTCATGTTCTAGTTAATGTCTAGTTAAAAAAAAAAGGTTTTCAACTTTTTATACGTATAAATAGGAAAACAAATAAATAAAATGTGCCTGCAATTTAAATAAAATAAAATGCCAACAAGCAATTTAATTTAATTTTAATTTGAGCATTAAAACTTTATTAATATGCGTTTCACGTAACGAATTTAAAAATTATTATAAAAGATTTAAATTCATTCATTCCTATTGTAATTGAAAAATAAAATAAATAAATAATTTTTGAAAAAAAGATGTTTGTTCAAGATTTTAAAAAATCACAAGTTTAATTTTAAAAACTAGTTGTATGAACATTACAAAATGCTTCAAAACTTTTCCATTAATCAACAAAATACATGCTTATATAAGTAAATAAAGTTGTTTTATATTCTTGTATGATTCACATAAAATGTGTAAAATCCGTGGTCAAGTTGTAAAGAAAAAAATAAAATAGCGTGGTCAGTTACAGAGAGCGATCGCACGCCATTCCTGTCCAAGCCTGGTATGTATATATGCATTTATGCATGTAAGTATAATGTTTAAAAGATACCATCAAAATCACCTTCAAAATACTGTCGATTTTGATGCTATCAAAATACATATGGAGGTTAAAAAAATAAATTTAAGTTATAAGGAGAAATGTAAATTGGTGTTATCACTAATTAAACTTTAGTGAAAAAATCTTTTATGAGCTGATGTTAAAAGGTTTTTTGAGTTTTTTTCAATAAAGTTAAGAAAAAGGAATTGTTTTGAAAAGTTTGTTTAATATTTTTAATATCCAGATAAAAACTAACCCAGTAGCTGCTAATTTTGAACACCTTTTAGCTATTTTTTGAACACCCTTCAGCTAGTAGTCAACTTTCGGATCAATCTCAATTAGTTAACATAATACTGTTGTTCAAAAATGAAAACTGTTTTAAACAATTAATGTTCAGTTTAATTAAAAATTGGTTCCATGGTTTTTTGGTTTCATATAAAATTACTGGAAGTAGGTCTAAAATGATGTTTACATCTTTCAAACCCTCCTACTTAAGTATTCTTGTGTTAAGGAGTATGTGTGTAAAAAGATCTTCTAGCAAGAAAGAAACATGGCTTTGTTAGAAATATATTGTACACCACTTGCCTGTTGAAAAACTTTGACTATATTTTATCAAGCTTATCAATGTTGGTATGTATATTGTTGTTCTGTTGGTATTCCAGTTGATGTAATTTTGCTGGATTTTTCCCATGGGAAAACCATGATTCAATGGATTTCAATGTTAGTCATATCTCAATAGAAATACTATGTTTTTTGTGTTTCTTTATGGAATCCTTCTAATTTTTGAAATCCTATGGTATTTTAATTAGCATATAAACACCATGCTAACCCATAATGCCAAGGCTCTACCCGAAACACATGAGTTTTATTACATAGCATACATATGTTTTATTATATTTTAAAATCTTGTTATGTTGCATTATTTACATTAAATAATATGCTGAAGTCAAACTTCAATGTTTAAGTCATAGCTATTGGTTTTTAAAGATTTGACAAGATTTCCATTATGTTTTGTTTATTGATCTCATTTCACAGTTGATCGAGAAGCTTCAATAATGCTAGTACTAATATCATAATGCACACATGATATACTACAGTTTGACTTCACATATTAATTAATGTATCTAATGCAAATTTACTTCTATGCAAGTGCCAGAGCTCCAGTAATATAAATATATGATATTAATTGTATAGAAAAATGAGGAGCCCATTTGCAAAGCGGGCTATATCTCTGAGTAGACTGGTTTTGAGAAAACAATGAAAAACTAAACTACTCTTAGTTGGTAATTTTCTTTTCAAATGTGATTTGGTGATAGTTTTACAATTATTGTTATATTAATGTTTGTTAAAGAAACTTTAACGAAACTTGTTGTTGTAGAATGTCACCGTTTATAAAAACAAAACAATTTTTTATTTTTTAATAACGTTTGTTACAAAAAAGCACACACAAACAATTTATATACTATAAATTAAAAAAATATATACAACTGTCAATTATACTTTTAAAAAAAAACAATTATTATTAAAATTTATTTAAAAGCGTTTCGCTGATGTAGAAACATTTGTTAAAAGTTTTGATGTAATTTATTTCACTTAAAATATAATTCAAAATATTTTTCATTCAGGGCATTTTTAAAATGTTTTTGATATAGCCGTGGTCAAATCATCATAGCAAAATGTAATTTGCCTGGTCATATTAAGACAGCGATTGCACTTTTATATACATGTAGCAGTCTTTCACGTCTTCCCATGAAAGACTGTTACATGTAAATAAATAAAATTTTATTTGAATTATGGTGTTATATTGCTAAAAATACTTAAACTTTTCCCATTTCCTTATTTCTAAGTGTGGCATCACCAGGAACATAGTAGGAATTCAGTTTTATGATTTGTACAGGAAAGAGTGGTCTCTATTATGTCAGGAATATTTGTACAGGAAAGAGTGGTCTCTATTATGTCAGCTTCTTTCACAGAAAAGAGTGACCACTACATCATTCTTCTTTTACTTATATATAGATGATATCTATGTTCTTTAAGTTAGTAAACTAATTTGTTATTTTTAGCAGAAATTAATAAGTTGCAGCTTGAGGAGAAGCAACTGATGTTTGAAAATGAGGTAGGTACCCAAATAAATTGAGGTAGGTCTCTATTAATTCATGTTGTAAGTTGTATAAATTCAAAGTATTTATATAATTTATGTCAATTAGTTATTTTATTATGTTATTGATATTTGAAATTGTTAAATAAGTATTATTTTTAATTTGTAAAAAGCATAAAGAATCATTATAAAAATAAATGGTTTAGGAGTTGTTAAAAATTGAAGAATCGCTGCATAAGAAAATACAACAGGAAAAATTACAAGTGGAAAATTTAAAAGTTAGTTCTTTTTTCAAGTTAGTTATTTTGGTTGTATGCTAAATCAATCTTTATGTTACACTATATATTGAATTTGTATTGTTAAGGTTGCATAGAGTTAAATCTAGTTATTTTACTATAAACAAGATTTAACTATATACTAGGGTTTTGGAGATATAGGTACTATTTTTTCATTTTCCTCAATAATTTTGATAAGTCTAAGTAATGTGATAAGGTAGTAGAGTCTTGGTAAAGTAAAGTCTAAAGGGATGATATGTAACTGTAGGAGAAGGGAATAGCATAATAAAATCTTACAGACAGGACATGTCTGTAATACTTTATTAACAAATCTGTTATTCCACCTTTTTTTCATGGTTTAGATTTTGTTACTTCACAGCTAAATTGTTTTTTAAGAACTTTTTATCAATCTCATCTCTTGATTCCACTAATCACGTCTTACCCAATATAGCCAACAACTAGGTTGATCCATTGCTTGACATTCATATTACTCCAGCTTCTGTATCTGAAGTGATTGCCTGTTTAAACATTTCTGCAGCTTGTGGTCTGGACAACATACCTTTTCTTGCAGAAGTGTTCTCCAGAGCTATTGTCTATACATTCGAAACTATTTAACAAGTGCTTATCAGAGTCTTGTTTTCCAGCCTGATGGAAAATGGAATCTGTTATCCCTATTTTTAGAAATTTTGAAGAGCGATTTGACTTGTCTAACTACTGTCCTATTGCTCTCAACATTCCTAAATCTTTTGATAAAGTTTATTATGCTAGTCTTCTCCATAAGCTCTCTTTTTACGGTGTATCAGGTATACTATTGAATCCTTTCTTTCCAATTGTTGTATTAAGGTTTTCCTTGATGAACAGCACTTTTCTTATCTCCTATAACTTCAGGGGTTCCTTAAAGTTCTATCCTTGGCCCTAGACTTTTTTTAATTTACATAAACAATCTCCCAGAAATTCTCACATTTAAGGTGGAGTTGTTTTCTGATGATACTACCATTTATTCATGTCTTGATAAGAAGCCAACACTCTCTGATTGCTTGGAGGAAGCATTTGAACTTAAAAAGGATCTCACTTTTGCTACAGCATGGGGCTCTCAGTGGCTGGTGAACTTTACTCAAAAAAACTCAATTAGCTAAAAAAAAATTTTTTTTCAACTAATCGTTATTGCAACTATCTAGATTTTCCTATATTTATGAATGGAAATGTACTTGAAATGTATTATTAAATGTATTACTCTCTTCATTTCTTAGGCTTAACTCTTAATTGCAAAATTAACATCTTCTAAGGTTGCATCTCTTTATTGTGTTCACCACTATTTTACTCCGGATTCTATTCTTTATATCTATAAATCTCTAATTCGTTTTTGTATGTAATACTGTTACCATATCTGAAGCATTTCTTTGAATGATGCCTCTTTTTTTTTCTCTTTTCTATAAATACTTTTATGGACGCTGCTCCAAAGAGCTAGCATCTCCTATGCCATTTACTAAAATTCATTCTCGTGTTGCTTATCATTCAATTAAGTCTCATCCTTTTAATTTAAAAGTTCCTAAGTGCTCCACAAATTCTTTTTTGTCTTATTTTTTTCCTTGAGCGCTAGTTCTTTGGAATTTGCTCCCTTTATCTTTTTTTCTAATTTGTATAATTTACAATCTTTCGTCTGTTAATCGTTATCTTACTTTATAATTCTTCCAATTACTGGTTGCTTGCAGCCTTGTTGGAAGTGAAGATGTTTTTAAAAAAAAAGACATGTAACTGTAGGATTAGTAATAATCAATTAAAAAAAAAGGACAAAAGAACATCCTTTAAAAGAGGTTAGTGGAAGCTAAAAGGTTATATAAAATGTTAAGGTTAAAAGTTTTACATTTTTTTTGAATTTAATGTTTTAATTCTAAACTTTTGATTATTTGTTTCAGGAATTTTAAAAGTTGAAGAAATTTTTGTAAAATCTTTTTGCAGAAAGATTGTTTTTGTATTGTATGTGTTTCATTGGTTGCTTTCATTGGTTTTGTATTTTTTATTTTTAGGCTAGAATATTTGAATTTGAAAATTGTAAAACTAGTACTTCTTCATCCTCTAGTTCTTCTACTAACTCGTTATTCAATGATACTGAGAGGATATATGTATCTTTTTTGGAGAATTGTAATAATCAACTATTAAAACTATATAAACATATATAAACAAATAAAATAAAATACTTAAAATAAAACTTTCTTACAGATATCATTAATAATACTCAAATTAATTTTGACAATTTTCTTATTTATTTTAATTTTTCTGTTTTGTTTTTATTTTATTTTCACTCTATGAATTTTACTTTAAAATTTTTATTCTATTTTTTTTTTTTTTTTATTTATTCATTTTCTATAGCTATTCTTTGTATAAATATATATATATATATTTTTTTTCAAATAAAAAATAAAAAACTCCTTAATGTTCAAAAAAAAATTAAAGAATGAAGTTGACAATATGGAGCTAGAACAAAATTTAAAAGATCTTGAATGCAGGAATAAAGAACTCGAGGTTGTTTAATTTTTTTTTAGTTATAACAATGTTTTGTTTATTTAAACAAATTTAATCTTAAAGAAAGTTATGTTAATGGTATATAATTTTTTTACTGGAAGAGAAAAAATGGTATATAATTTTATGTTATGTTATGTTAATGGTTATGTTATGATTTATGTTAATTTTT